ATTTTATTTTAAGTAAAATAACATAAAAATTAATAAAATCGTTGGTTGAACGATGAAATTAAAAGTAAGAATTGACGTACAGAATTCCAATAATGCTCTTGAAAGGATTTTATATTATTATTATTTTTTTTTTTGCAGGTATCCGATGATATGGTCCCCATATTCACACGATGCATGTCTCCACACCGTCCACTCAGTACAAATCATTTTCTAATTTCTCAAATTAGTCTCTGTTGTTTTGCATTGGGAATTTTGTTGTTTATAAGCTTATTTGGGTGGGATATGATTTATTTTGATGGCGATTGCGGAAGTTGGTAGGTACAAGTAATACCACATTTAATGTGTTGATATTGAGCTCTTCCACTATATTAAAGAATTTTTTGGTGGGAGTTATATCAATCAGAATAAGTGATAGAGTTAGTAGGTAAAAGTAATACCATATTTAATGTGTTGATATTGAGCTCTTCCACTATATTAAAGATTTTTTGGGTGGGAGTTATATCAATCAGAATAAGTGATAGAGTTAGTACATAATTAAAATCATAAATTGCATGAAAAACACAATAACTTGATATCATTCCATATAATTTACGATTAAACCTAGTGCATGTGAAAAAGTAAGAACTCAAATTGAACATTAAATACCTTGCTCCCTGAAACATCCCCCTTTTTTAAAATTTCATTTGATCATGTGTATTTCAAACTTAATGTTTAAAATAATATTCCCCAAATGCACGTCAAAAGACACAAGGTTTTAAAACTCGGCTCGGTGTGAAACTTGGCAAAGTGGCTAGGTCTCGGGTTGATCAGTTGAACCGATTTGACCGGCAAGTCAAATTGGTGACATCAACATGTAAAAAGGTTTGAAATCCAACAAAAACTCCATTGAAATTTGCACACAATTCCCTAATGGTTTGAAATCCTTCAAAACACCCAAAATTACATCGTTGACATCGGCAACCCAGGCCAAATAAGGCTTGTTTCCGACGTCAAAATCACACCCCATCACCACGAAAACTCTCCCCTCAGCCTCTTAACCAAAACCCATCTCACCCCACCTCTGTTCACCTCGCCAATCAAGCTATTGCCGCTGACTTATTTTTTCGATTTTCGGTCGCTTCATTCACTGGAAATCAAATTTGTCGCCACCTTTCCACTCATCAGTCATTCCTCTTCAAAAGCCTTAACATCGAAGCCACCAATTGCTCGCTGATCACCGTCCATAAATCTAAGGTTTGCTTTGATAAGTTATAAACAGTTAAAATTGGGAACCCAGCCCAGCCAAGGCCTCGGATCTTGGTTAGACCGATTTAGCTGGTCGGGTTGAGTCAATTTTTAAAACTTTGAAAAGACATGTTAATATTAAACCCTTGCACTCTTCTTTTTAATACTAAAATTCTTCTCTTTACTTGACTTCCAAATCTTTAAGAGAAGTGAGGGTATTGGAAAGGTAAAAGAGAGATATGGTTAATTTCTTTCAAGAAACGCCTTAGAGTTTGAAACGTTGAGTAATGAAATACAACTTTGGAAACCTATATAAAAACTAGGGGTGTTCGGTTCCGGTACCCTGTACTTTTTGAAGGAACCAGAACCGGAAACAACGGTTTCAGTTCCTAGATACCCAGAACCAGAACCTGTAACAAGGTTCCGATTCCGTTCGGTTCGGGTACCGTAAAATTCATGGCCCCCAAAAGTTTTAAAATGGCAAAAAAACCCTTAAAAACTTACAAATACCCCCCACTGGCATTGTTAACAAAAATAAATTACAAATTAAATTCGAAATTACAAAAATCCATACTTGTAAAGGTAGATTCTCAAAAGTCAAACAACTTACTTTAAATATTATGAAATATAAATATAAATGTATTCACATTACTTTTTCTATAAAAGTTTTATTAACCTCCTAATCTTTAATTTTATTTATATTAGTCTCGGTTCCCAGTTCCTAGTTCCGATTGCAAAAATTTGGAACTGGAACCTACCCATTGATGACTAGTTCTAGGTAGGAATCGGAACCAAACCAGGGTACTCGCCGGTTCTTGTTCCAACCAGTTCTTTTGCACACCTCTAATAAAAACAATGAAAAATTAACTTTCTTCTCTTCAAGGAAAAAGTGTCAAAATTTTCTTTGCATATGTTGGCTTCACTTTAGAAATTTGAGTTCATCAATACTAAGATAATGAAACAAGGGTCAAGGGCTTCATTTCCTTTTGTCTTGTATAATAGAATTACTAAATAACAATAGAAAATAGGGCATTTTCTAATTTGATGTGACAATTCAATCGATTTGGGTCGAGGGGTTGGTCATACTCAATATTTCTATTTAACAATTTACAAGAAGATGCCACCAAGACATTAATTGTTCCTATCTATCGAGAGGAGCAATAAATTTTACTTTTTCGGATCATATAATATTTTATTATAAGAGGATATTAATAGTGAAAAGATAGATGACTTTTAAGATTACCGGAAATGTTTAGAGAAATATGCTTGGTTGGTTGGAATAAATTGATGAATATGCTATATCTATATGTTGATTAGGAAGATAAATGGGTGGGTATATTATATAGATTACTAAATTACTCTCTTTTTTAAATATTAATATATTATTATTTTGAATCATTTTTTTTACCCCCTACATTTGAAATTTTGCTAAAACACCCTAGCCATAAAAACTTTAATTTGTAGTAAAATCACCCCACCCACCAAGCCATTGCCGGATCCAACCACCATCACCGACCGTCGTCGGTAATTGACGAATGGCTTACGACCGCCTATATATGGTCGGTTGTGCATCGGTAAGCCATTTCCAACCATGGATCACAAATCCATGGCCGTTTGACGGCCAAAGATGTGGCCATATCATGGCCATAGATCTGGGTGAAAAGGGAGATCTTTGGCCGTGAAACACTTATCGTTTCAAGGCTAAATCTGTGGTCATTTCATGGCCACATATTTGGTTGTGAAACGGCCATAGAAACGGCCTTCTGGTGCACGATTGGCCAAATCCTGTCGGTCATGGCGCCATTACGGCGTTGTTGCCAACGGTTGGCAGTGGTCTTGGATAACTGGGGAATTTTGTAACTTTTAAACATTTTGTGCTGGGGTGTTTTAGCTAATTTCTCAATATAGGGGGGTGGGTAATTGTTATTTGGTGATATTTGAGGGCAATTTTGTCCAAATTGTATTTAATTAAGGGCAAAATAGGTATAAAAATCATATTACCTTAGGAATCTTTTAATAATAGCCCCTAGGGAGGGTATCTAACTACCCTTAATTACCAACAGTAATACTATTACAATAAAACATACCCGTAATATTTTATTACTTGCAAGCAAACAACGGAATCTTGCAAATAAACGAAGATTACTTCATTATCTTATATGTCCCCGAACCAACCACACCCTTTAGGTAGTTATATCCTCGTTGAATCTTCAATTTCCAACTTTTGTTGGCTACAAACCTTTTAAAGTAGAAGCGTATTTAACCTCTCTAATACACAGATTTAACCATTTCTCATATGTACGGTAATTAATTAATGATAACTGTATTACCACCACAACAAAAGCACATTGCAATGCTGGAAATTATTTCAATCTTAGCCTAAAATATAATTATAAATCGATTAATGACATGCAATTATATGATAACTAAGTTGATGTGAAGGAAATAAATAATCTGGAATAATAAATTATGGTTATGAAAGGTGAAAAGAAAAGAAACTAAATGTGAGTGGTGGAGGGTTCGACAGCGACTCTTTGGTATATTATTCAAAAGGTCTTGAGTTTTAATCCCTTCTAGGTTGCTAATAGGAATAGTTACTAAAATTCTTATCCGACTGACAGTTTCAGAGTCTTGAAGATTAATTAAGGTGCACGGAACTGGTTTAGACACCTCTGGTTATTAAAAAAAAAAGATGAAAAGAAAAGAAGGATAAGTAGTGGTCCAGGAACAAACTAGCTGTGATGACTGAGATATTAAATGTGAAGAGAGAGCAGAGCAGGGGCAGGCAGCACCACCAGCCAAAGAAAATAGTAATGGTACTTAATGGTTATGGAGATCTTCTTCTGATTCGTTTTTCACGTATATTTGGGCACCTTGTTATTCAACGGCATTTCAGACATTTATTTCTACAACAGAAGGAGCACAACTGGGTACAAGAAACTCCACTGGTTTGAAAATGAAGTGGTACATGGCCATGTTGTGAGGATCAAAATCAAGAATCAATGGCTTTGCCTTTAATTTCTTCTTGGTTTGCATTTTGACCCTTATTGGGAACCAGATTGGCAGTCACTTGAATACTTTCAAAGAAATATGAGACAAGTGCTCTGTTTTAGATGCTTTTTCAAGTACTTTCATTGCAATTTTGTTAGAATAGAACTCTCCCTTACAAACTTTATAAATTATTAGATCATCTTTCCTTCCTCTTAAAGGCATTTGCAAAATTATTGTTTTCTCAATTATTTATGAATAACCTTCTGCTGTCTCTCTCTTTTTATTTTATCTCTCTTTTTATTTTATATTCATCAAAACCAAAAGAGAGTGTACAACAGAGAGAACAATATTCGGATTTTTATTTTTCAGCCCCAATGCATTTTGTAGAATACTAAAGGTGAAATGATGTAGTAAATTTCAACTGTTTACCTTAAGTCAGGACATTAAAAAGTCAAAACTTACAGTTCTATAAACCAAATTATTCAGAACTTGAAACCAAACAAATGCGTTCAAAGGAAATAATACAATAGTTTTCGTTGGAAATCGAAGCTTCTCTTCAAAGGTTGCCTGTTCGGCCATATGGCGTCAAAGGGGGAGAGCAAAACTGAGGCCCTAAACCATCCCTAAGACCTATATTTGATTTATCAACAAGGCTGCAGGACCCAAGTCTGAAAACCTTCATGATGTACACGAAGTTACAAATTAAGCCCAGTGACTGTACATTAAAAAAAAAACACATTAATAGCAGACTATAGTCATAGTAAAGTAAGCCCAACTTTATATCATCACCCCATGTTTGGATACTGATGAATACAGTCAGCCCATGGGCCCTTCTTGGACTCCCCAATAATGGGCCTTAGACACTCCAAAACTACACTATTGCACTTAGGCCCAGTTCCTATTCCAAGTTGCCAAATTTTGTCACCTTTCTTCAGTCTCTCTTTAGCCTCCATGTAAGCTAACTCATACCACAGTGAAGAAGACGACTGGTTACCAAATCTATGCAATGTCATCAAAGCAGGCTCCATGTCTTTCTCACTAAGCTTCATGCCTTTTGCTATCTCCCTTATCAATGGCCTCCCTGAAACTGGCAAGCAAAAATGCTGTATCACATTCTTAAAATTTGGCACGTAAATTTCCCCAGATTTCTGAATAAACTTCTTCCTAAAGATCGAAACACCGTGCAAAAGTTTTTCTGTAAAAGGTAAGATTCTGAAACCGAGAATGGTGATATTCGCTCTCAGTGTTTCTCCGACTACTTGTAGCAAATCCCTATTGAGTGTAACCCCAAGTTTTCCATTAGAATCTTCTTCGCGAATTCCGGCCAGATAAGCCTTGTCCTCAAAGGCTCTTTGGGTTCTAACTGTGCATAAAAGCTTGTATTTTGATGATGTTTTTGCTTCTTTTTTGTTTGTTAGCAAGATTGCTGCACTGCCCATTCTAAAGAGGCAATTAATGAGCAGCTTGGGCTTCTCATTACCTGAATACCAACCTGTGGATAATATTTCGGTGCTAAGAACAATGGCGTAGGAGTTCTTGTGCGTTTTGAGAAGGTTTTCAGCCAAATCAATTGCCAGAGCACTAGCACTGCACCCCATACCAGAGAGATTATAGCTCATAATGTCTCTCTTCATGGAGTATTTGTTAATAATAATAGAAGACAGAGAGGGTGAAGGGCAAAAACCGCTGCAGTTTACAATGAGAATGTCAATATCACGAGAAGAGAGTTTAGTTTTAGAGAGAAGGTCTTCCATTATAGGGAAGAGAACCATTTGGACTTCTTTAATGGATTCTTGCTGATGGGTTTTTGGAGGAATATAGTGTAAGGCTGGAGGGAGATAAGTCTCTTCACTTAGTCCTGAAGAAGTGAGGATTTTGGACATGAAAGCTATACTTTCACTGTCAAAATATTCAATCATGGAGGCGTTTTCAAGAAAGGTGGAGAATGGCACTCTGCAGAAGCTAGGTGGCTTGAAACATGAGAAATCTACCAGGAACACAGCTTGAGGCTTTGACATCAGGTAGTATCGGAGAACGTAAACAAGAAGGAAACAAGTTAACAAAATGAACTGGAAAATGAATTTCCACTGTTGAAAGATAAAGAATGCTTCAATGAATGTTACAAGTATTAGAACTCCAAATCTCAGGAGCTCCAAGAGAGCTGAATGCAGGTGTTTAAAAGATGACATAATGGATGGGAGAGTGCTTATGTTTTTGAAAACATTTTCTTGGTTGACATTGGAAAAGTACCCCATTTGAGAGAGAAGGAACCAGGAAGAAAGGGTATGGTACTGATTCCAGCAGAGTTTGAGAGTTTAAATGGAGTGTAGTGTAGACTCTTGACTCTCCAGAGCCAGAGTTAAAGAACAAACTGTAAAATTATTGCAGTTGGCAGAAAAAAAATTCAGTAAACTACAAGAAAATTCTAGTAATAATTAACTGAAAAGCAATCTGTATGGTCAGTCAAATGGCTGTTCAAATATCAACGTGAACCAAAAAAATTGCAAGAAAAATTAAATTCCAGACTGAACGCCATAAATATTGTTAGTTGAGACTGAAACTTAATGACACTTAGTTTCCACCGGAAACTCGAAACAAGCCTTGCCAAGAGGTAAACCGATTTCTAGAAAGAGGAGAGTGAAGTTTGACTACAGCAATTATGGAGTTTTGTTTCACTTTTCACGAAAAGGCGAGTAATGCAAGCAGTACTGCTGCTGCAGATAAGCTGATACTTTTGACCGTTTGTACTTTAATGTTCTAGCTCAGTATAATTTATTGCTTGATCCAAAAGGTCATGGCAATGGCAATGGTTGGCAGTGGCACATGAAGGAAAAGAAAATCACTGCTAATTTCTTTCATCTTGGCCTTCTAAAATGCATTAAATGGGGTTGAAGCAGGACCTGTATAAGCCAAATTGATTTTAAGTGTTTTGAGAGTAATTTTAGTTACAATGCATTGGTGACAATAAATCTGAAAGGTGCCTAACCTTCCCTTGTAGTTGACTTTGATACATTTATGATTACAAGATCCAATCTCCCGTCCAGAAGATGGCAAGTTCAATAAGTTCTGACCATGTGGGGTAATTTTTCAGCTGTAATGGCATTGCATAAATTACAGAAACCTCAAGTCATGAAGACTTAATTTAATTAGTTCAATACAGTAAAAACAAATCATTCAGAACTTAAAAACGAAATAAATTTGTTCAAAGAAATAACTTGTAGTTTTCGGTGGAGAATTTTAACTCTACAAATTCTAATTCTACTGGGTTGCTATGCAAGGCAGAGTTACTTTATGTGCAAAAGGCTGCCTCATGATTCATGAAGCTTCTCTTTCAGTCTTTTAAACAAGAAGCGCAAATCTAAGGCCCTAAACCGTCTCTACGGGCTATTTTTGTTATCAATAAGGCTGCATACCAATATCTGAAAGACCTCATGATGTCCACAAAGTAGCCCATTAAGCCCACTGGGTGAACGAGAGTGCAGCCCTTGTGTTTAAAAAAAATAAAAACTACTAGGTATAAATAACAATATTAAATTCATAATTCAATCTTATAATATTTAATGTAATAGTTTATCATTAGTCAGTTTGTAAAATATGTCTTGCCTATTTATTTACAAGTTAACCAACGAGAAGCTCTTGTGTTGGGATTGTAAAAAAAGATAGTAAAAAAATGTTGTAGACTTAGTATTATTGATGTATAAAATATTTGATAAGATTTTTTTCTTAAAAATATTCACACTTCCTTTTGTTGACATAACGAAACCGTAATTACATAGCAGTTCCTCCTTATATTTTTCTCATTTATTGATAAACGTGGAACATTAATGCATTATTAATACTTGCCTTACACTAAACGCTTATGTCCCGAAATGCACGATGGAAAATCTTTTTATGTGAATTCGTATCTTCAGTTTATGCAATATTTTAAGGAGTAAAAGCAAGACTTCATGTCTGGAAAGAAAGACATGAAGCAAGTCGAATCATTAAAAAAATTGCACCGACACTTCAAGGCATCGATGGGTTTATAAGCTTTATTTTGACCAAGTCCAAATTCGTTTGTTCTTTTTTTCTTATTTGTATTTTCCTTTTGTTGGCACCACCTCTCTCTTTTCTAAAGCAATCATTTTAAAATACTTTGTAATTTGTTAACATTGTCTTTGTACACATAAATTAAAGATTCTCCATCACTTTTTCAATAAGATTTTCCAGATATATACAATTAATTTTGATAATTTCCTTTTAGATTTGCCTTTGGTCATGCTTACATACTCAAAATTTTTATTTTATTTACTCTTAATAGGAACAATTAGAAAGATGTGAAAGAGATCCAGTTGCTTACATATCTAAAAAAATTTTAAATCTCCAATAAATTAATTAAGGAAATATTTAGGTAATTCAGAGTTGGTTACCATTTAAAAATGATTGACAAAAAGAGATTCTAAAATTACTAGTTTATCAATTAATAATTGATCTTGAATCCAGAGAATAGATTGAGCAAAATTAGTTACTATTTATTGGTTGATTGTAATAATAAAAGGCATTATTTTATTCATTAGTACATTATATCAAAATTTAGAGACAATTCAAAACCAATTAATCTCCCTTCAATGTATTACTACATGTAGATAACAGATTTCACGAAAAAAAGGTAACTACATCTTCCTAGAAATTTGAAATAAATAACCACCCGTGAATGATAGCAGCAGAAAGAACAGTAACAAAAGACCAACAGAACACACAAAAGAATCAAAACAAATTCCGAACAAAAGATTGGGTACACTCAGATTTCTTTTATGTTTTGTCTCTAGTTCACCAAAGAATCTCCACCCCTTTTTTGTTTGGTCCCCTATCTTATCATACAACCCATCTCCACCAAGCAAGTTTTCTCTCAATAATTGCTTCTATATATAGAGAGAGAGGGAGAGAATTATTGAGCTAAGAGAAACCGTAATCGGATGATTATGACTAAGTTATTGTGTTTTTTACTCACAATAACGTTGTTTCAACTATTAGAATTGGCTATTTCTCGACGTGAGCAAGTTACAACACCACCATTGCCTGTTTTGCCACTTCCATCTTATACTCAACTTAAATGGCAACAAAGAGAGATCATAATGTTCTTCCACTTTGGAGTTAACACATTCACCGACTCTGAATGGGGCACTGGGAAAGAAAACCCGGCTATTTTCAATCCAATCGGGCTCGATGCCAACCAGTGGATCAGTGCAGCAATGGACGCAGGAGTTTCTCTTGTCATACTTACTGCAAAACACCACGATGGATTTTGCTTGTGGCCTTCAAAATATACTGACCATTCTGTCAAACTTAGTCCCTGGAAAAATGGACATGGTGACGTGGTACAAGAGTTTGTAAATGCGGCTAAAGCTCGCGGAGTCGATGCAGGATTGTATTTATCTCCTTGGGATCGCCATGATCCGAGATATGGCCACGATTTGCAGTATAATGAATACTACTTAGCTCAAATGCAAGAACTACTCACCAGGTACCTCAATTTTCTCTATTTTGTGAAAAATAAGTTAATTGTTTAATCCGCTTCATCTGATTGATACGTGGCATCTATTATTGGTAGATATGGAAACGTGAGGGAGATATGGTTCGATGGAGCAAAGGGTCCAAATGCGGTTAACATGTCATACTATTTTACAGAGTGGTTCGCCATGGTGAAAGAGTTGCAGAGTTCCATTAACGTATTTTCGGATGCGGGTCCGGATGTTAGATGGGTTGGTAATGAAAAAGGATTCGCNATGTTAATATTAAACCCTTGCACTCTTCTTTTTAATACTAAAATTCTTCTCTTTACTTGACTTCCAAATCTTTAAGAGAAGTGAGGGTATTGGAAAGGTAAAAGAGAGATATGGTTAATTCTCTTTCAAGAAACGCCTTAGAGATTTGAAACGTTGAGTAAATTGAAATACAACTTTGGAAACCTATATAAAAACAATGAAAAATTAGACTTTCTTCTCTTCAAGGAAAAAGTGTCAAAATTTTCTTTGCATATGTTGGCTTCACTTTAGAAATTTGAGTTCATCAATACTAAGATAATGAAACAAGGGTCAAGGGCTTCATTTCCTTTTGTCTTGTATAATAGAATTACTAAATAACAATAGAAAATAGGGCATTTTCTAATTTGATGTGACAATTCAATCGATTTTGGGTCGAGGGGTTGGTCATACTCAATATTTCTATTTAACAATTTACAAGAAGATGCCACCAAGACCATTAAATTGTTCCTATCTATCGAGAGGAGCAATAAATTTTACTTTTTCGGATCATATAATATTTTATTATAAGAGGATATTATATTAGTGAAAAGATAGATGACTTTAAAGATTACCGGAAATGTTTAGAGAAATATGCTTGGTTGGTTGGAATAAATTGATGAATATGCTATATCTATATGTTTGATTAGGAAGATAAATGGGTGGGTATATTATATAGATTACTAAATTACTCTCTTTTTTAAATATTAATATATTATTATTTTTTGAATCATTTTTTTTACCCCCTACATTTGAAATTTTGCTAAAACACCCTAGCCATATAAAACTTTAATTTGTAGTAAAATCACCCCCACCCACCCCAAGCCATTGCCGGCATCCAACCACCATCACCGACCGTCGTCGGTAATTGACGAAATGGCTTACGACCGCCTATATATGGTCGGTTGTGCATCGGTAAAGCCATTTCCAACCATGGATCACAAATCCATGGCCGTTTGACGGCCAAAGATGTGGCCATATCATGGCCATAGATCTGGCTGTGAAAAGGCTAGATCTTTGGCCGTGAAACACTTATCGTTTCAAGGCTAAATCTGTGGTCATTTCATGGCCACATATTTGGTTGTGAAACGGCCATAGAAACGGCCTTACTGGTGCACGATTGGCCAAATCCTGTCGGTCATGCGCCATTACGGCAGTTGTTGCCAACGGTTGGCAGTGGTCTTGGATAACTGGGGATATTTTGTTAACTTTTAAACATTTTGTGGCTGGGGTGTTTTAGCTAATTTCTCAAATATAGGGGGGTTGGGTAATTGTTATTTGGTGGATATTTGAGGGCAATTTTGTCCAAAATTGTATTTAATTAAGGGCAAAATAGGTATAAAAATCATATTACCTTAGTAATCTTTTAATAATAGCCCCTAGGGAGGGTATCTAACTACCCCTTATATTACCAACAGTAAATACTATTTACAATAAAACATACCCGTAATATTTTATTACTTGCAAGCCAAACAACGGAATCTTGCAAAATAAACGAAGATTACTCTCATTATCTTATATGTCCCCGAACCAACCACACCCTTTAGGTAGTTCATATCCTCGTTGAATCTTCAATTTCCAACTTTTGTTTGGCTACAAACCTTTTAAAGTAGAAGCGTATTTAACCTCTCTAATACACAGATTTAACCATTTCTCATATGTACTTGGTAATTAATTAATGATAACTGTATTACCACCCACAACAAAAGCACATTGCAATGCTGGAAATTATTTCAATCTTAGCCTAAAATATAATTATAAATCGATTAATGACATGCAATTATTATGATAACTAAGCTTGATGTGAAGTGAAATAAATAATCTAGGAATAATAAATTATGGTTATGAAAGGTGAAAAAGAAAAGAAACATAAATTGAGTGGTGGAGTGGTCTACAGCGACGCTTTGGTAATTCAAAAGAGTCTTGAGTTTTAATCCCTTCTAGGTTGCTAATAGAATAGTACTACAAATTCTTATCCGACTGACAGTTTCAGAGGTCTTGAAAGATTAATTAAGGTGCCTACGTAAACGGTTTAGACACGCTCTGTTATTAAAAAATAAAGATGAAAAAGAAAGAAGAATTAAGTGGTCCAGGAACAACTAGCTGTGATGACTGATGGATATTAAATGTGAAGAAGAGCAGAGCAGGGGCAGGCAGGGCACCACCAGCCAAAGAAAATAGTAATGGTACTTATGGTTATGGAGATCTTCTTCTGATTCGTTTTCACTATATTTGGGCACCTGTGTTTTCAACGGGCATTTCAGACTTTATTTCTACAACAGAAGGGAGCACACTGGGTAAAGAAACTCCACTGTTTGAAAATGAAGTGGTACATGGCCATGTGTGGAGGATCAAAAAATTCAAAGATCAAATGGCTTTGCCTTTAATTTCTTCTATTGGTTTGCATTTTTGACCCTTATTGGAACCAGATTGGCAGTCACTTGAATACTTTTCAAAGAAATATGAGACAAGTGCTCTGTTTTAGATGCTTTTTCGAGTACTTTCATTGCAATTTTGTTAGAATAGAACTCTCCCTTACAAACTTTATAAATTATTAGATCATCTTTCCTTCCTCTTAAAGGCATTCGCAAAATTATTGTTTTCTCAATTATTATGATAACCTTCTGCTGTTCTCCCTTTTTATTTTATATTCATCAAACCAAAAGAGAGTGTACACAAGAGAACACAATATTCGGATTTTTATTTTCAGCCCAATGCATTTTGTAGAAACTAAAGGGTGAGAATGTAGTAAATTTCAACACTGTTTACCTAAGTCAGGACATTAAAAAGTCAAAACTTATAGTTCTATAAACCAAATTATTCAGAACTTAAACCAACAATGCTTCTTCAAAGAATCATACATAGTTTTCGGGGAAATCGAAGCTTCTCTTCAAGTTGTGCCTGTTCGCCATATGGCGTCAAAGGGGGGAGAGCAAAACTGAGGCCAATAAACCATCCCTAAGACCTATATTTTTATTTCAACAGGCTGCAGGACCCAAGTCTGAAAACCTCATGATGTACACGAAGTTACAAATTAAGCCCAGTGACTGTAACTTAAAAAAAAACACATTAATAGCAGACTATAGTCATAGTAAAGTAAGCCCAACTTTATATCATCACCCCATGTTTGGATACTGATGAATACAGTCAGCCCATGGGCCCTCTTGGCCTCCCCAATAATGGGCCTTAGACACTCCAAAACTACACTATTGCACTTAGGCCCAGTTTCCTATTCCAAGTTGCCAATTTTGTCACTCTTTCTTCAGTCTCTCTTAGCCTCCATGTAAGCTAACTCATACCACAGTGAAGAAGATGACTGGTTACCAAATCTATGCAATGTCATCAAAGCAGGCTCCATATCTTTCTCACTAAGCTTCATGCCTTTTGCTATCTCCCTTATCAATGGCCTCCCTAAACTGGCAAGCAAAAATGCGTATCACATTCTTAAAATTTGGCACGTAAATTTCCCCAGATTTCTGAAAATACTCTTCCTAAAGATCAAACACCGTGCAAAAGTTTTTCTGTAAAAGGTAAGATTCTGAAACCGAGAATGGTGATATTCGCTCTCAGTGTTTCTCTCCGACTACTTGTAGCAAATCCCTATTGAGTGTAACCCCAAGTTTTCCATTAGAATCTTCTTCGCGAATTCCGGCCAGATAAGCCTTGTCCTCAAAGGCTCTTTGGGTTCTAACTGTGGCATAAAAGCTTGTTTTTGATGATTTTTTGCTCTTTTTTGTTGTGTAGCAAGATTGCTGCACTGCCCATTCTAAGAGGCAATTACATGAGCAGCTGGGCTTCTCATTACCTGAATACCAACTCGTGGATAATATTTCGGTGCTAAGAACAATGGCGTAGAGTTCTTGTGCGTTTTGAGAAGGTTTTCAGCCAAATCAATTGCCAGAGCACTAGCACTGCACCCCCATACCAGAGAGATTATAGCTCATAATGTCTCTTCTTCATGGAGTATTTTGTTATAATAATAGAAGCTAAGGGGTGAGGAAAACCGCTGCAGTTTACAATGAGAATGTCAATATCACGAGAAGAGAGTTTAGTTTTTAGAGAGAAGGTCTCCATTATAGGGAAGAGAACCATTTGGACTTCTTTAATGGATTCTTGCTGATGGGTTTTTGGAGGAATATAGTGTAAGGCGGAGGGAGATAAGTCTCTTCACTTAGTCCTGAAGAGTGAGGATTTTGGACATGAAAGCTATACTTTCACTGTCAAATATTCAATCATGGAGGCGTTTTCAAGAAGGTGGAGAATGGCACTCTGCAGAAGCTAGGTGGCTTGAAACATGAGAAATCTACCAGGAACACAGCTTGAGGCTTTGACATCAGTAGTATCGGAGAACGAGACAAGAGGAAAAGTTACAAATTAACTGGAAAAGAATTTCCCTGTTGAAAGATAAAGAATGCTTCAATGAATGTTACAAGTATTAGAACTCCAATCTCAGGAGCTCCAGAGAGCTGAATGCAGTGTTTAAAAGATGACATAATGGATGGAGAGTGCTTTATGTTTTTGAAAACATTTTTCTTGGTTGACATTGGAAAAGTACCCCATTTAGAGAGAAGGAACCAGAAGAAAGGGTATGGTACTGATTCCAGCAGAGTTTGAGAGTTTAAATGGGTTGTAGTGTAGACCTTGACTCTCCAAGAGCCAGAGTTAAAGAACAAACTGTAAAATTTGCAGTTGGCAGCAAAAAATTCAATAAACTACAAGAAATTTCTAGTAATATTAACTGAAAAGCAATCTGTATGGTCAGTCAAATGGCTGTTCAATATCACGTAACAAAAAAATTGCAAGAAAATTAAATTCCAGACTGAACTCATAAATATTGTTAGTTGAGACTGAAACTTAATGACACTTAGTTTCCACCGGAAACTCGAAACAAGCCTTGCCAAGAGGTAAACCGATTCTAGAAAGAGGAGAGTGAAGTTTGACTACAGCAATTATGGAGTTTTGTTT